CTCTCTCTCTCTCTCTCTCTCTCTCTCTCTCTCTCTCTCTCTCTCTCTCTCTCTCTCTCTCTCTCTCTCTCTCTCTCTCTCTCTCTCTCTCTCTATATATATATATATATATAATGTGAATCAGTTGAGGTTTCCCTCTCTAAATCAGAGAAGAAGCCAGAATCAAATGGGGTTTACTCTCTCTAGTTTGGGAGAGAAATCCCATCCCATATCTGTTTCTTTCCCCACTGATGGAGAGAACCTCGTCCACTGTAATTTGTCCCTTGATACAGAAAACATGGAGGCTTTATTCATTGATCAACAAGAGCCTGGTTCAATAGAGAATCCCGACCTCACCATTCGAGAAGGACAACATTCACAAGGAAACCAAGAAGAGGCAGGAGCAGGAGGAGAGGAAGTAGAAGAAAGACCAGAAGAGGCACAAGCAGAAGGAGGGGGAGAAGTGGAGGAAGGAGAAGAAGTAGGGGGAGGAGGATCACACTCTCGTGCGATAACAAACAACTCAGACATTGTGATCAAAGTGACAATAGATCATGAGAGAGATCTGATCAGACTAACCCAATCTGGAGAAAATGAGTTGGGTCGACCCCAAAGAAGGCTTATGAGATTTTCCATTATAAATGCAGCAGCACAAATGGTTTGCTTTGATGACACAAGGCCCGGAAACCTCTTCATCTCAGGCATGGTTCTTCCTTTTAATGGCCCTGAATCAAATATTCAGATCTATTGTGAGTCTTTTGGGCCAATTCGTTCATGGTGTATAACTGGCTTTCTTGAAGAGTCCCACGCAATTTGGGTCTCAACTGATATCGCTGACTACCTTTGTGTAAAGCATGAAACATTGTACCTCCCTCTCTATAGTCAATTCATAGATAAGGCCTTCCTTTGTATTCAAACTTTTCAAGAGCTAGAGAATGACCCCGCATTGGAGATGGATTTACTTTTAAATCATCTTGTTGGCATTTTGTTTGATGAATGGGACGGTTCCCGCCCCTTTAATGCAGCGCTGATGGCGGTGAAGTGTCATCTGCCATTTATAGCTGATCAGTTGGTTGGGCTTGATCGAAGGTTCTCTAATTTTCAGGCAATAGAAACAATCAGTGCGAAGTTTAAGGATCAGGTAAACAAGTTTGAAATGCTTAGGCAAATGAACATGATGAACGGCCGGAAATTGTCCGGTTCTTTCTACTCGATCCAAGATTATAACAAGAAGAACCATGGGGAGTGCCCCCAAAGTAGTCACAAAAGATCCATGACAGAGGCTTCCTCCTCCTCCTCCTCCACTACTCCCAGATGTAAGGAGAAATGTTCCATCGAAACTAATGACACACATGAGAGGAATCTCGACACGGCACCCATGGATCCTCAGGACATAGGAGAAAAAACGGAGTCAGAAGCACTTAGCATGACCCGAACTGGAGATAGAGAGGCCAAACGGCCCTCTCGAATACTTAGGGGATTCGAGATTTTGGATCGGAGAGAAGCTATGCGACCAATTGAAGACTCTGAGTCCTACGAATTGTACATTACCTCTGAGATTTGGCCACTCCAAATAGCCAATTCGAACCTAGAGGTACGATGTGAGATGTTTGGGGAGATCACCTCCTGGTGCATTACAGGTTACAATGAGGGGATCCCTTTTATTTGGGTTTCAACTCGAGTCGCAGATTATTTTTGTCATGAGCCCAATGAAGGTTACATGCCCTTCTTTAAGGCCTTCTACGAAAAGGCGAAGCTCTGCATTCTAGCCTTTCAGATTCTAAATAAGGCACCATATATGCACTTTGACGAGTTTTTGCTAAAACTGGTTTTAAGTCTAATGGACTGTTTACGCACCTTCAAAGAGGAAGAAGCCGCTCGGGACTATGTGAATTCTCAGTTGGGTTTCGTGGCCCAGCAGTTAATTGAACTCGATATGAGCGTCTTCTCTAAATTGCCAGTCATAAAGACTATAATAAGTAAGTTCAATGTGAATGTTGGAGAGGCAATGAATAGGAAGGCACGCCATTCATTTTTCTCGATTGATGGAAAGAACGAGGGGAGACAGGTCAGTAGCAGTCCAGTGATTCATGAGAGTAGAAGAGAAGCCTAAGCCAAGAGAGCTTATGGGGATCAGGAAAGGAGAGATCATGTTGAAGCCAGGGTTAGTATCTTTTTGTGAAAGCGCTCTCTCTCTCTCTCTCTCCCTCTCTCTGCTATGTGATTTCTCAAAGTTGGATGTTCTCTCTCTGTCTCTGTATGTGTCTACTATGGCATCCCTTGAGGCTGTAAGTTTTCTGTGCGTAATTTCTACTGTGCAAATACACAATGCATATTTTCACTCTGTGTACCATGGAAACAAACTCTTTTGTCCAAAATCACTCATTCTTGGCATCAAAGTGCATGTGATTCATTCTAAACTTCAAACTTCTCCACTGGGTCTACCTTTGTGGGCTCCAATTTGCCAAGACACAGTAGTATTTTTCAGGGAAAAATATTGTAGGTTATTTTAAAGATATTGTCTCTTTTTTTTAAAACCAGTGTTCAAAAAATCATTTCGGCCAAAGTACTCGCGCATTGGCCGAAGCGAGTTAGTCGGGCGAGTCATTCGCTCAAGTTCAGCTCATTTTTAAAAAAAAAAATAAGAGAAATTTTGTTTATATATATATATATATATATATATATATATATATATATAGTAGTAGACGTACTTACTTTACTTACTACTACTAGTAGTAGTAACGTAACGTAGGTAGGTAACGGTAAACGTTAAACTTAACGTACGTACCGAACTAAATAA